GCTTCGGGGAAGCGGTCACATCCACACGCTGTCTAGCTGTGGAGGCAACTATCCTCCATTGAGCTGTCTTGGGACTCTCCCGTGATGTCTCTGTGCTAGGTGTCTGGTTCTGCAGAGAATTAAATTATCCATCAATCTCATCCTCTGCAGCCCTGATCCCCCGCACCCTGCTCACCTGTGCCTGGAGTTCCCTCACTTGCCCCTCCAGGGCCTCAATCTGGGCACATGTGGGACAGGCAAGGGAAACCCTGGCCCACACACTACCTCCAGGCCTCAGAGGTCCCGCCAGGCAACCCTCACAGACGGGGCCAGGGCACTGCCAACCCATCCAAGGGGCCTGTCTGGGTGGAGGCCTCACAGGAGCTCTGGGCCAGAGGCAGCAGCAAGGCAGGGTCCCTGGCTGCTTTCCATGTCACCACCCTCTTCATTCACTTACCTGAAGTCTCTGTCAGAAGCTCCCAGGTACTTCTACATGGTGTGTACTCCTACCCATGAGCTGGCCTGCAAACTGCTCTCCTGTTGGCAGCCCCTGGTCACAGGCTCCCTGGTTACCTGGGGAGTCTCCTTTTATACCCTTCTGGGCCTGGGCTGACTGGCCCAGGCAGCAGTCACACAGCAGTCAGCAATCCCACAGCAACCAACACTCACTCAGTAGTCAGCACTCACTCCCAGCTTCCCAGAGCATACCCCTCACCAAACGAACAAGCAGTCAGTTAAACAAAGTTATAGGCAGCTGGATCAGTTATCTTTCCTGGGCAGGATCTGGTTATGTTTTATGTGATAAAATATAGTATATCCTTATCCATAGCTTGAAACAAAGTATTAGAAGCTCTCTGGAAGGGGTGGGGGTGGGGGGAGACACAGGATATATGTGTTCAGTTGTATTAATAAATAAACTTTGCCACCGGACTACCTCAGTTTATTTTTAATTATGACAAGAGCTTCAGACTTCTGTTTTTCACTGCTAAAATGAACAATCATTCTTTTATGTCTAAAGTAATGATTGAACTAAGCAGTACGAAGGCAGACAGCCATCTGAGAGCATGTTTTCCTCTACCACAGATAATCAACAGATTTATTTTTTTTCAAATACTTTCAGAGAAAATGCTTTCACATTTACATATAAGTACCTGAATTCATGATGTTTATATATCAACTTTTCTTTCAGTATGTCCATGGCACATTTCCTCATTCGTGACTAATAAACCAACTTAACTATGATTTAAAATCAAGCTTTATTCTGATAATGATTGTAATTTTAAGGTTCTATATTTATCTCCTGTTGAGTTCCTTATTTAACTTGCCTATTTCACAAGTAAATTTACATTTTCTACAAGACAGTCCTACAATACTCAATTAAACTGTTTGTCCAGACTTTAATCACCACCTTTACTGATTGACTCTCAGCTTCCTTTGAAGCCTATCACAAATTAATTAATAACACTTAGAAATTAAATTATTTGGAGAGACTGGGGAGAAACATAAGAACACAGAGTAAACTCCACTTTATGAACTAACTTGTTATGATATACAATATTTACTCAAATCCAAGACAACTTCAAATTTAAGATGACCCCCAATAAATAGAAAAATTATTAATTTGTTATAATTTTTCATGTTTAGAATCTGATTATTTGAGGATCATCTTAAATGTGTCCCCTACACTGCTGTAGCAGGAAAGGAGTCAGGTGCATAAGCATTGAGGAAAGAGCCTAAAGGACAGGTGTGGGGGGAAAAGCAGAGATGGGGCAAAAACAGAGGCAGATGCAGATGGGGCGAGAAGGAACTAAATGAAGGAAAGCAAGGGCAAAGGGAAAGGTAGGAGGGAAGCGTCATCGGCAATCCCTTGATTTCAGGATGATCTCTACCATCTCATTAATAGGTCTTGAGGTGACCTAAGTGTCCAATCCTTGAGCTACAGACCCATCCACAGAATTAATGTTGCGGGGGAAAGTAGAGCCAGGAGAGCAGGTGGTTGGAAAAGCAGGAAAGGAGGAAAGGTGTGGGGAGCATGGGGGAAGGAAGAAGAAGCAGGAGAGAACAAGCAGCCAGCCCTCCCCCCACATTCTTTCCCACCACTTCTGCTTTCCTCAATGATCTGGGCACAGGGGGATCAGCTGCTCCAGGAGCCTGCCTCAGTAACATGCATGTTTCTCTTTCCCTGTTTGGCTACCCTCCTCCCTAGCCCATCCCTAGAATCTATGCACTGTGGGGCTGGGCTCCTTGGACAGCTGTTCTTGCAGCAGAGGGCAGAAGAGTTTCCAGCACTCCTCCCAGCACCATGCCTGCTGCAGCTGAGAATCAGACTGCTCCATCTGGGAGCTCTAAGGAGCTGCTGTGCAGGGAGCCTAGCTGACTGGAACCACAGCAGCAGCAGACAGATTCCTCCTTCCTTGCCTGGCTCCCTGCCAAAGAGGGAGGCCAGGGGAAGGGAGCCAGACAAGGAGCAGATACTAGAAGTAGGCATCTGCATGCTGTTGATACTGTCCCTGCTCTAGCCAGGATCCCTGCACAGCAGTTCCTTGGAGCTGCCAGCTGGAGCAGTCTGATACTTGACTCTAAAATGACACTTTGTTTTCCCCATAATGAATGGGGAAAAAATCCTTGTCTTGGAATTGATTAAATATGGTAAGATGAAAGAAATAGTTCGTCGATGGCTGCTTTTGCATTAAATTTCTAAAATGAAGATATCTTGCAAGAGTATATCATGACCTCTTATTTCTTATCATTAAATATATGGGACAATGACAAGGACTTCAGGGATCTTTTAATTTTGCTATAGAGCTAGAGAAAAAGTACACCTTTAATCATCTCAGTTATGGTTGTGGGTGGTAAAATATCTAGGCAATTTGTATGAACCATTTTGTATAATTCCATTTTGGTTATGCAGGCACTACTTTCAAATCACACTTTTCCTATTACTGAAGTTCCTTGTAATATTTGGATAGTTCTCTGTGCTATCCATTACTGCTGAAGTAGACCATAGTGGTTTCCATAGAGATGATTTCTTCCTTTTTATCTCCTGTCATGTAATCCTTCCATGCAACTGATTAAATACTCATCCAGAGCATGGGCACTCAGCTTCACCCAGTGATTTTGAACTCCAGTATTGTTTTATCACTGTGTGTATGGCAGTCCTTTGATCTGTTTCTGCAGAATGAATAGAATCCCACAATGAAACATAATACAAATATAGAACAAATTTGCCCTTTTAAATAGCCTACTAACAATTAGTTAACCAATATTTGTATACTTTGTTATCTGGAGCAGAGATTTTAAGAGAAAAATAATTTAAAATTAAATGTTCTGCTTATGTTCTGATTCTTTAAGGGTTTCATGCTTATAATTTAGGAGAGCCCTGAACCTACATAATGCTGGACAGAGTTGTGCTGCTGATTCATAGAACTGCAATGAACTGGTTCACACATTAGGGCAAATTCAAGCACAGCGCAGTATTATATTAAATATGAGAGAAGGTATCTGAATGTGCAGAAAGGATTATGCAAGCCCTTGTACACTACTGAGATCATGAACAACACATGCCCCTGGAGGCTGGGGGAGCACAGCGACCTCCCACAGGTGGTCATGGTGGTGGTAGCAGTGGGGGTGTGGTGGTGGTGAGTGGGGAATTCCTGCAGGTGGCTGCAGCAGTGTCAGTGGCAAGGTGGGGAGGCCATTGGCGACCGCCCACAGATGCTGCCAGCGATGTCGACAGTGAGGGGAGGGGGGAAGGTTGGCGAGCGGCAACTGCCCATTGGCGTGGCCAGCAGCATCGGTGGCGCTTCTCTCAGAGGGTGCACTGCCAATCTCAAGGGGTGCACGTGCACCTGCATGTACCCCCTACACGTCACTAATGACTGAGATAAATCTGTCAATTCTGAGGCAGGCAATGCGCAAACTGGCTTCAATGTTTGTTTCACGTGAGACTGCAAAATTTGGTCCTGAAAGATTATAGAGCCCTAAAACAGACATAAGCCATTTGCTTTGGTTGATTTTCTCCATCAGAACCCTACCCTGCTTCTGCTAAAGTCAATGGAGTTTGTTGTTGATTCACTAGGAGCCAAATCAAACCTTCTACCAGTTAGGATGAGGCATTTTAGTCATTGAAAAATGTTTAAGGAAATAAAAAACTTGTTCTGGAACTCTAGAATATTTTTATAAGCTTTTATTATCTGGCTTTAAAATAGAAAGGAGATGCTGGAGCTGTGTAAATTGTCATAACACCATAGATTGCAATGGCTGATGATCTACATCACTGTACCTTGAACTACCAATATTATACAGATTCTGTTTATCAACATTGCCTGAGATAAAATGTACCAGCATTTTGCATTTTTTGCTTTTCTCTTATATTAAAGTTTGTGTATTTCATTAGAAAAATCTCTTTGAATAGGATATTTGCAACTGGGGGATAATTAATGTTAACATTATGAAATTAATTCTAATGAATAGGATATATGTTATACAGCAAACTTCAAAATTGTATTTTATTTCAAGTGAAACTGTCTGAGTTACCTGCAACTGAAACTGTTGTTTAGTGCAAACTTAATTGTAAAATATATCCTGTACATGTCTTGTACATGCCTTGTACACACAGAACCACGGATTATCTTTGGCATTTACTCCAGAAAAGGAAATGCTTAACTGGCATTGCAACTTTCACTTCTGGGGTATTGTTTCTTTAATGTTGAAATGGGAAGAAAGTACTTTTTGTGTGTAATAAGATGAGTATATTAGAATAACAAGCATGGCTCTTAGTGAGTTCTTTCATCTTTTACTAGTTTTAAATTTAATATGGCTTCTTGTATAAAGAGTTGTTATTAGTATGTATTTTAAAGGAAATAATATAACTAAATAAATTATTCCAGGGCAGGTCTTCATAACAAAAAATCTCATCTACTATATTGTAAGTAGGGACACTTACATTGAGTGTGGGAAAATGTGTTAGTTAGTGGCCAATTTTTTCCTTTCTCCAATTGTTTCTAAAGAAGGCTGTGGCAGAGTTAACAAAGCAGGCAGTATAAAACAGCTAGCAAAATTGATGTAATAAAAAAGTTACAGAGTTTATATAAATTGTAACCAGCAGTACATTTATTAAAGATCATTGTGAAAAGTAGAAAAATGAAATACTTTAAAATTATAAATCCATATTCTGTACATGGTATTTAGGGTGCATAAAAACATTGTGAGAGAAACATACAATTGCATAACTGAAGACAATATCACAATGGATGTTTACAATGCTTTGGTAACAATGCACTTGACAGTACTTTTATAACACCCTGCTGAAGTTGTTTTTTGATTTAACAGGCCTGCTTTTCAGAAAGGCTGAGCACCCATATTTACCATGGTCCTCAGTCGTAGTTATGGGTGCTCACTGTCTCTGTAAGTTGTGCCCCTGGCTTTCATACAACATTCTTAGGTTTGATGTTTTCAGTTCCTCTTTGTAAAAATTAAAAGACCTAAGAATTCTAATGCATTTTAGTAATTTAAGATACAAAGATGGGCAAACAGTTGTAATCTTGTAGAGATGTCTGTCATGGTTTTGCAGCAAAAATATTTCAAAATTACAAGATTCCTAAGTGTACTGAGTGATATTAAATGGGAGTATTCAATAAATTACTGTCCTAATGCCTGACATATGAGCATTTACTTAAATGTTCTAACGCAGTTCTTTTTTCAATTAGTATGTTTGACCATCTTTGTCAAAGTAACCCTCTTATCTTAGTCATTCCATAAAAGTTTTCCTCATTCCACATAAGTAATCTCAAGTAGCTTTCTGCTTATATTAATTCCCAAGGTTCATTTATGCATGCCCTGTTTTTACTAATAAGACACAGAATATCTGCTATTCTCTTATCAGATATGAAAAGCCAGGACAGGGATGCAATACCTATTCTTGAGAGTTTCCCAGTTTAAGCTGCAAAGTATTATATTCTCCTAAACAGACACTTCAATGAATTTGTAATCAAGTTTAATACTGCCATATGCATCCTTGGAATTATGCTGTTATTTTGCCTACACATTTGGGTATAAGGCTTTTGAAAAGTAGGATATGCTTATGTTTATACTAATTGTTGTTTCTAAATCTTTTTTTCCAATCTATGGCTATAGACTAGCAATTTCAGCCTGAGTTTGGCTGTCTTCCATCATTCCTTGCAGCACATTTATTCAGTGATGATCTCTGCAAGATAACAGAACATGAAGCAAGTGTCCCTGAGCAGCACTGAAAAATTAGCATCCTACATCATAGTGGCAAGGTTAAAGTTTAACCACAACTAACAGAAGTATTTGCAACCATGTAGATAAATGAATGCTGTTAACTATCTGAGATTGCATCGTCTGATTATTTAAAATAGAGGGCCAAATTTTTGTACTTTTATTCACAATTTAGAAACTTAATATATGAGAAGTAAGGTAATACTCAAAGTAATGGAATAGAGAGAAAATTTCTTGAATGCTCCCTTACATAAGAATGCATATGTAAAAAGGATGAAGATGATAAGTGTGATTGTTACTGCAGCAGCTACTTTAATTGCAGGAATGCCTGCTTTCAGACTCAATTTTACCATTCATTTCCTTGTACCATAGACAGTTATGAACTTCTTCTTAGGAACAGGCTGTTCATTATGTACTTATTTGCTTATCTGAAACACAAA